TTGTGTCACCATGTTGATGGGAGGGCGAGCGGACAACTCCGCTGCCACTACCGGCTGCTTGGCGGTCGAAACCGCGTGCGTAACCTGCCTAAGACCCTTCAGCTTGGGATCTTCCGTACCTATCTCTCGAAATTGGAGTAGCCGTTCCCCTCGTGTCCTCCCTCGCTGCCTCCCTAATGTGCCGGTTCACTGGTTGTTGACGAAATCGCCCTTCCCCTTGAGTTGCCGCTTCCTCCTCCTCGCCTTCTCGTGGACAACCATCCATTGAAGTGTGAAACCACCAACGGCATCTATCGCGATAAGGGTTTGCTTACATACGAACTTCAGCCGGAATACCTCCCCCCCCCAATCGCATCGAAAGTTCCGGTTCAAACTTATCTTCCGCTTCTTTCTCCAATTCAAACTTCAGGTTCATTAACTTGGGTCTTGTACGATCTTGCTCCGGCGGAAGGCTCTTGATTACTCGGCCCAAGGAAGTTTCCACCATGTTTTCCACATGGAACATGACGCGAAGTGGGACACAAATTGCCATCACCCAGAACTTGGATTCATCTTCTAGGCGTCTTCTTTCCTCTAACTCCGACTTCGTCATCCATGGCTTGAAGTGCATGGAGTACTCCACTCCACGAATAGAGATGGTGTCGTCAGCTTTCGCCACCAGCCACTGCGCCACCTCTCTGGATCTAGCGACATACGAGATGACGTTTGGACCCTCAGCGTGTACTCTCCCACGACCAGTGTTCTGCTCAAATGTCCGTTGTCGGTACCACCCATTCTCATACGCCCTAATCAAATCTTCCCTCACTCGCATCAGGAGGTCTCTCGCAGCTCCTTGGAAAATAATTGTAACTGTACGTTCTTTTAACCAGCTGGTCATGAGTTCATCCAGTCGGGGGTTCACTACAAAGGTTCGGACTCCTCCCTCTACTACCCATTCTCCATGACAAAATTTTTCAGGGAGCACCCCATCATCATAACACTTCGAGATTAGTAGGCGGAGTCTGTCCTCGTCGGACACTGGCACATCTCCAGGTACCTGAGGAGTACGACCTCTCCCGTCTTGCTGCCCAACCAATCTTCCTTGTGACGCCATCCGTTCGTACTCCACGCCTCCTCTCTGTCGTGTTAACTCTCACTACTCGTCAGTGGCGGGCGCCCGAATTCGGCGCACACCCTCTGCAAATTCCTCCTAGTATGCTGAGCTTTGCACTTAGTCCGCATGTACACATCTTTCACAACAATCTCGTAAGAAAAGAGACAAGAAGGGACAACCCGAAGGTCTTCCTCCACCGGAGCTGGCTCGGAAATTACCGAGCACGAAGACTCTCCAACACCTCGGTCATCGTGTCGNAGGTCTTCCTCCACCGGAGCTGGCTCGGAAATTACCGAGCACGAAGACTCTCCAACACCTCGGTCATCGTGTCGGTGACTCGCTGTGATGGCTGCCTCGGTACTACCCGAGGGCACTGACTTAGAGCACGCACTGTGCCAACCGCCGTGTCCCCTTGGGCCTAGAGTCCTCCGGTGGCGTGAAGCCTGGATCCGCTAACGGAGCGGAGCGCCAAATTTTGTGCTACCGGAAGACTCGCGGCCTCGCCTCGGGAATAACGGAGCGGAGCGGAGCGCCAAAGATCCCAATTTTAGAGGAGAGGAGAGGAGGGGGGGGGGAAAAAAAAAAAAAAAAACTAAAAGAAAAGSAAACCACCTAGGGAATAACGTGGAGTAAGGGTGCGGCTGAAGACACGAGGGAAGGGCGGTGGTTCCACGTGGGGCTTGATGCAGGGTGATGAACAAGTAAGGGAGTGGAGATGGAGTGTAGGGGGAATTCGGAGTGAAGAAGGAATTGGAGCGGGAGGATTCGACGAACGGGATTGGAGAAGAATTGTGTGAGACAGGAGGGTAGGTTGAGTCTACAGGGGAGCAGATAGGGTCGGGGAGAGAGGCTCAGTCTGCAGGACTGAACGGAGGCGGAGTCCAGTGTAGGTGAGGGCAGCTCGTGAAATGACGAGATGATTAGTGAAAACAGGAGGGAAACGTAAATGGCTAGATTAGGACATTTAAAAACCAGAGGGAAAAGTATGGAAACTATAGGGAGGGGACAAAGAGAATGTGGATGGGTACTCGGGTGAGATTCAGAGAGTTGGCGGACTTGCCGGAGGGGAAGAAGTCAGGGGATGAATGGGTCAGAATTTCAAGTGATTAATAGAAGGTAATAATGGCGGGGAAAGGCAGAGTTAGCGCCGGGTGAATGGATCGAGTTTCGCAGAAGATGAGGGGAAAGAGTTATCGTGTTGATGCCTATGCAGCCTAGAACTCTATCTATGTCGAATACAATAATCCACCAGGAGTGGGATATCCAACCACACTAGAAAAGCAAGGTAGGAAGGACAGACTACGCCTGTAAGTTCACTTGAGGAAGATACACACAGAATTTTGGAATCAACGCTAGAAAATGTATGCTAAGTACTAGAACACTGTGGATGTCATGGAGCAAGGCATAGTAGGCAAAGCACAATGAACGAAGCCAGGAGGATTCTACACTACATCTGCAGTGTGTATAAAAGTAAGTGGGAAAGTGGCCCTGTCAAAACAAGCACCGTTAACGCTCATACTGCCGCCAGATTGACTCCCACTCCTCCTAGCAGCATCTTCAATAGTGGTGCCTCTAGTGTTTCCCACCATATTGTAGGCAAGAAGGACTATGGCGCCAACACAACAGCCACCGTCAACGGTCCCACCGCTGCCAGTTGGGCTCCCACTCCTCCCAGAAGCATCCTCAACAGTAGTGCCTTTAGCCTATACGGCCATCGTATAGGTTCGTCACAGTTCATTCACGTGGCATGGTAAAGTGGTGGAAGGTTGAAGGTGAAAGGTACATGGCAAATGGTAAATGGTGCGGGCTGTGTAGGGGCCACCAGGATGCCCCCGCCACTGAGCACAAAGGCCCTCCCTCCACCACTCAAGGAGGTGGTGTGACCGTGCACTTTTTCCCGGGTCATCGCCATACCCGAGGATCTGGTGGGGTGAGCTACACGATACAGATGTCTGGTCCCACCGCGCGTCGCTTCCCTCTTCGCTCTACTCACTCCGGCTAGCACTGCCGCTACTGGCTGTACTGCAAACGGTAGCGCAGCGCTACCGGTAGCGCACACGCAGCCGGAGCCCCCTGAGAGAAGAATATGGATTAGTTATTAAAAAAAATAAAAAATCTTTTATTTTATTTTATTTTTTTAATTTTACCTGGGCCTGGAGCGAGGTCACACTAGCAAAGAGGATTGGATTGACTGCCGGAAAGTGGATGTGTTTGTGGACAAGTGCAGAAAATCGAGAGATTGATTCTGCTTTTCTGCATGTGCATTAAAAATAGCTCCAGATTCAGACACTTAGTTCAAATTTCCTTGCTACCAGTGTGACATCGGCCCCTGGTGGTCCCACTAGCAAAGAGGATTGGATTGACTGCCGGAAAGTGGACGTGTTTGTGGACAAGTGCAGAAAATCGAGATATCGACCAGCTTTTCTGCATGTGCATAAAAAAATAGCTCCAGACTCACAGACTTAGTTCAAATTTCTTTCCTACCAGTGTGACATCGCCCCTGGTCAAGGCCGTCGACGTTTCACAAGACAAAAAAATGAGATTCTCTCGCCTCATTTGCATTTCAATCCGTTCCCCTGACGCGTTTCTTCCCCGCGCATTCCCTCGACGTCTCCTTGTGCATGGTGTGTACAAGAAGTACACCTCGCGCAGCCAACGCGTTTCTTGCTCGCGCTTGCGCTCTCGACGCCTCCTTGTGAATCATGTGTACATGTAGTCTCAACTCGCACAACCAACGCATTTGTTGCTCGCGTTTGTGCTCCACATCTCCTTGTGACTGTCATCTTAATCGGCTGTGGCAGCGATGTTGGTGCTGAATAGCGGAGCTATGGCGGCACGTAGACCGACTCTGATGGGCGCCGGGGAAGTCGGCTATGGCTATGGCATCATGTAGCTATAGGCGGCGATGCAGGCGAAGTGGGTGAAGAGAGGGGTGCATGCAAGAGAAGAGTCGACAGATTCTGATGTGCATGGGGAGGCGTTGGCATTAACGAGAGCGTTAGGCGGCGGAACGGCGGCCCTGGGGCGAAGGATTTTCGTCTTGCGTGGGGAAGATGGAAGCAGTTCCGTCCATAGCTCTAAGAAATGTGTAACCGCTGCATGAGAAGGACATTTTCTTCCTCCTTTTTCGTTAATGCAGCTGGACGCTAACGGACGCTAACGGAGGCGTTGTTCTGAGGAGGTAGAACGCTACTGGTCTGAGATGTGACTCGGCTGGCAAGAATTACAGGCACGAGGGCGCGTGCCTCAGAGAGTCAGCAACCAGGGCTGCTAGCATGGCGCCGGCTGGTGAGCTTCGAGGCTGGATCTCCCTCTAGAAGTTCTAGTATCCTCTCCTTTCCTGTGCAAACAGTCAGTTCGGATGCTCAAGTGACATAAGAGCAAACATCTAGTACTGTAAGCATGAGTTGGAACAGCTAATTACTAATTACATAGGTAGCGATAGGCAAGTTGATCGATTTTTTTTGTGTGCTTTAGTGTGTCTGCGTGTTTATCTATTGTATATATGTGTTTGGTGTTGTGATACTAGATAGATAGATCGAGAGAGAGAGAGAGAGAGAGAGAGAGAGAGAGAGAGAGAGAGAGAGAGAGAGAGAGAGAGGGAGGGGGGGGGGGGAGGTTTTTTTGTGTGCAAGTTAACCTTTTGANAGAGAGAGAGAGAGAGAGAGAGAGAGAGAGAGAGAGAGAGAGAGAGAGAGAGAGAGAGAGAGAGGCAGGGGGGGGAGGGAGGTTTTTTTGTGTGCAAGTTAACCTTTTGAATACGAAAATGAACTTCAAGGAGGTTTTGTCGGAGTGGGGGGAAAAGTTGGGGGTAGTAAAAGGGAGGCCGAGTAAAAATGCGGGGGATATGGAGGCTGGGCCTGCTACGATGGGTCCTCTAGATTATGTGTTGAAGTCAGAAATTGTGGACTATTATCAATCGTCCGGTCCGATCATATATTCGGTGAAAAGGCCCGTTAGAAACCTGTTCAGTGTGAGGGGCACGGCCGTGAAGATGGTTGTTTTATCGGCCGATTTTGTCCTTTTGAATTTGCTTCATCTTATTCTGCTCATCGTTTTCCAAAAGCACGGTAAAGAGCGTGGTGCTGACGGTAAAATGACGACGAAGTGGTACAGGATTACGAACGAGATGTTTGCCGTGATGTCTCCGCTTCTAGTCTTCTTCCTGGTCTTCTACAATAATCAAGCGTATAATCGTTACATGGAGCAGTTCTTCATCGCCAGGAAACTGGAGGGTAAAGTCAAACACATCACTAATCGACTTCGCGCTTATTTTCGCCACGATCCCTTTCCTGGGGCCGAGCAATCCATGCGCGAAATGCTCAGGACTGTTATCGTCGCCCATTACTGCCTTTACTTCCGTCTTCCGCGATACAGCCTGCGGCAGATTCACGAATGGGGCTGGGACTACCTGCGCAAGTACGGACTTGTCAAGAAGGAAGAGTACGCGGTTTTGGTCGCCAAAACCGGACCTGAGATTATGGGAGAGACTCTTGCGTTCTGCTTGGAGCGATTAGGTCAGCACGTGCGGTACGGACACATCGACACCCTCACTTTCAACGCTTTCGAGCAGGATTTGCACGTCATGGCCGGCTTCATTATGTCTATCACCGCTTACGCAAACAATCCGGTTCCGTTCGCGTACTACCATTTAGCGAATCTTCTGACGCTGGGCCAGCTGGCCTTGGTGGCGTACGCTTTCGTGTTCTTAGACAGTTACCTGACGATTATAGTGTTTGCATTGCTGACGACGGCGCTGTTAGGGCTAAGAGATATGAGTTGCGCGTTGTCGGATCCATTTGGAGTTGACGACACCGATTTTCCAACCATAGTGCCGACGGCAAGGTCCCACGTGGGCAACGAAGCGCTGCTGAGCCGAGACAGCGTTTTTGGAAACGCAGCTCTGCCGGGCAATCCCCCCTCTCCTTCTCCTCCTCCTCCTCGTCATCCTCCTTCTCCTCCTTCTCCTGCTTATCTCAATTCTCCTACTTAGTCTCCTCTCCTCCCGCCAATGATGATGGTTCTTTGGGGCCTCGATCCACTATGTCTCCAAATGTGAGAAGTGGGAATGAATCTTCCTCTAGAACACGGAACGATGCATCGCCATATTTGTTTTGTCTTTTCTACAGGTGGAGAGTAGTGTACAGAGAGGCCCTTAGTCTTCCTTCCTTCCCGCCAAAATTATCAAGAAGGAAAGGTGTGTACAGAGGCCCTTAGTCTTCCTTCCTTCCCGCCAAATTATCAAGAAGGAAAGGTGAGCACGGACGTATCTCCCCTTTAAATTTTACGTAATTCTTCTCTTCCTGCGGGAGACCAGCAGCAGCAAGAAAAAGAAGGAAGTACATCGCCCTCGCCGAGGACAGCCGGGATCCCGCTCCATGGTGGCCTAATTACTGGTCTCGACGGCGGCGGAGGTGGTGGGGAGTCTCTCACAGCGTCGAGTGCGGCAATGATCGACCGCAGCTCAGACGCGAGCGCAGCTGCCGTCAGCGACGCTCTCGTCACACACCTGTGCGACGAGGAAGGTCGCCATCGCCAGCCAGGAAATGACCGAGGAGGGGGGGGGGAAAGGGGGGGGCGAAATACTAGAATGCGTAGTTTAGAAGCGCTTCATTGGACAACCGAAATTGCCGATTACCGTTGGGGAATTTCATCTGTCTAGTATCCCAACTTCACAACAACAACCTGGGCTTTCATAAGTAATATTAAAAAAAAAAAAAAAAAAAACCGAAGCGCTCAACCAGCTGCTCTGCAGCTGGGAGGGGCTGTGACAGACATCATTTTCGGTGGAAAAAAGTAGTACCGACAGTGTGAGACCGACCGACCTTAGGGCGTACTCACACTCGTTAAGGGCTTTTTCCCCTTATTTGCGGTCAGATTCATCCAGATATGGCCATAAATGCGGTCAGATACACGTATAAGATATAATAGCTAGTGTACGACCGACCTTAGTCAGTGTGCCGCGCTGCTTGCTGCCTCGTAGACGAAAAGTCTCTCCCTCGAAATTGTAGAGCGACGACCAGCGTGGACCTTGCGCAAGGATGAAGACGCGCACGAATCGAGAAAATTGAATGGTCCATTTTTATTTTTTTATTTGACTTTTTTATATTAATGGTCCATTTTCTTCTCGGCGGCACGTTTTGACAAAACGTCTCGCGTCTTGCGAGACTATGGGCGTCGCCGCACTACTCACTAAATCAGTTTAAATGCATAAACGACAAAAATTATGGCGATGCATCTTTCCATGTTCTAGCGTAAGGTTCATTCGACGTGGTCCTATCAGAGGTCGCAAGTTCGCTGCGTAGCTTCAGTTAGCCTACACCTACTGAGGATGATCGACGGACCTTTAAGCAGTGTTTCCCGCCTCTTTCGCTCAAGTCCGATGAGGTGATGATTCACTGAAAAGACCGGATTTGCTGAGATGAGTGGGGGCAAGTTCGCTGATAAACGTGCTATTAATAGATCATTTTTTCTCGGCTTTATGCGTGTCATCCTTGCGCAGTGGCCATTTTGCTGAACTACCCCTCTCTGTCTCGTTCTAATTTAACAGTTTTGCTTAACTGCCCCTCTCTGTATCGTTCCAATTTAACAGTTGTCCCGAAGGACAAGAAGAAGAATGTGCCTTCCGTAAGCGATGGCAAATTGGCAATAGCAGCAGCGAATTATATGCACGCCGAGGGTATCTCTCGATTTCCAACTGGTCTTCGTATGTGCCTTGTCTAGAGGTCTCGATGTCATCATTAACCAGTAATAACCACTACTATATAGTCTTTTGCACTGTGTGCGTTAGATACTGCCGTGTAGCAGATTCAGTCTCTTTCGTGTCTGCAGCGTATAGCACTGGCGGTGTCCCATGTGATCACTTTTTTTTTTTGTTTTTTTTTTGGTTGAAAGGAAACCAGTCCCTCTGCGTAGATCAGGTGATAGGAGCACCCCCTCACCATCTTATCAGTTAAGATTGACTCATCCTCGAGAGTCAATGCACGCTGCCTGTCGAGTCTAATCACGTTGTCGTTGAAGCGTTACACACCATCTCGAGGAAATCCAATGCATGGTGTCAATTATAATGACAGTCTCTTCTCTTCTATTTATAGAGCGTGGCGTTGGCCCGCCACCCTCATGGTTTTTTTTTTGGTTTTTTTTTTTTGTTCTCCTCTAGACTTCATGATCTTCATCATTTTCTACGGAATTCACGCTGTCCAGTCTCATTTATGATCCCGTAATGCCCATATCATACCCATATTAGACACGTTGCACCCCCCTTGAGGAAATCCATGCTGTTGTTTATGATTTCTCCACTCTATAGCGTGTCCCGTTGGGCCCATCCTAACCTTATCCTTTAGATTTAACCATCGGATTCCTCGATCTGGAACTCGCTCGGTCGGCCGTCGATTCCCATCTTCTCTGAAAATGGGGTAGCTACGCGGGTGAGGAAAAAAAATAAATAAATAAAAAAAACGTGGGTACGTTTAAAAAATATCGCGTTCGCGGTAGTTTCCCCGCATAATAGTGGCGGGCCCAAATTTCGTTGCCAAAAATACATCTTTCGTTGCACAGCCTTTACAGGTCCCAGTAGTTTCACAGCAAAAAATACTTGCGGGGTCCCACTTTCGTCGCAAAAATACATCTTTCTTTCGCACCCCGACAGGATTTCCGCGCAGGGAAGCGTTTTTTTTTTTTTTTTTTTTTTTTTTTCAAAACGTTAAACCGTACTATGTGTTCATATACTCGTAGGATAGACTATTCCCGTCGTTATCGAGGGAGATATGCTAACCTTCTCTCGGCTCAACGAACAGTCGCACGGAAACTTCGATAACGCGCTATTTCTGCAATTACTACCCCTTTAAAGTATTTATTATTGGTGGAATCCCCATGTCCATTCGGGGCAATCAGTCGCGCAATCCACGCTGGCGCCCCACCACGTTCTTGAGTAGATTGGACAATCCGTGTTTTTTTTTTAATTATTATTATTATTATTACTTAGAAATGCGCTTTTCCAAGCCCTCTATCCCGGTCGTGGTGAGTAGATTGGCAAGAGTAATCACGTTCTCTAGTAGATTAGACTGTGTTTTTTTTTTTTTTTTTTTTTTTTTTTTTTGACATCGACTGGGCCAGCTACCGTCTTCACCCGAATAGAACGCCCGGTCATTGTAGCTGTATTTGGCACAAGTTTCGGTCCCGATGCTGCGATAATGACCGGGAGTTCTATTCGAGTGAAGACGGTAGTGGGGGTACTACGAGCAGCAGCCCCCACTAACAGCTCAGTACAGTTGGCTACTACAGTCTTAATTTCTTGGGAGCTGCACCTGCGGCGAAGCGAGCCCAGCGCCCCTTATACGAAGAAGATGATGATAGTTTTTTTTTTTTTTTTTTTTTTTTTTTTAATGATAATAGTTTTCATCATGTTCTACTTCAAATTGGATAATCACAATCACGTTGACTTATAAACTGGACAATCCTAATTATCCCCTTCTTTCTTAGGTTGGACAATCGGAATAACGTTCCCCTTGCATCATTCTCATCCTCTCTCGCACGATCCTGGACCATCCATCGACTGACAAGCCGATCATTGTCGGTCAATCAGGCAATGCGCTCGTTCTTGCGGCACTAAGCTAGTTGTTGGCCTCAATGGCCGGCTTATTCTCTCTTTAGGCTGTCTCTTATACACATCTAGATGTGTATAAGAGACAGCAATCAGGCAATGCGCTCGTTCTTGCGGCACTAAGCTAGTTGTTGGCCTCAATGGCCGGCTTATTCTCTCTTTAGGTGTGGAGGTTGATTGATACGAGGTATACATATACGTTAAATGCTCTCTCTCTCTCTCTCTCTCTCTCTCTCTCTCTCTCTCTCTCTCTCTCTCTCTCTCTCTCTCTCTCTCTCTCCAACGCCAGCTGTTTCATCTATCCTTCTCGATCTTTTTCTTGCGGCGAGGTTGTACAATATTTTTTGTTTATCAGGAAAAAAAAAGTCAATGGATAGATCGATTTTCATTAAATTGGCTTGCCCACAAACGCGAATCCGCCGTCGCCTAGGCTTGGCGCGCTTTGACAAGGCGAAGTGGGTTCAGTTTGGATATAGGCGAAATGGTTGTGACGGCAATCCCTTTGCTCGATCATTGATTGCATTCGTGTCCAAAAGTCGATTTTTTATAACCATACGCATCGAGAACCAGATAGATACGCAACTAGAGACACACTGATGGATATTGACAAACAGATTCTTGACATAACATAGATAAATAGCAGGATAAGACAGATAGATAATAGACCAATAAGGTAGATATACAGTTAGATAGATAGATAGATCAGTATATAACTAGATAGATAGAAATAGACTAGCACAGATAGATAGATAGATAGATAGATAGATAGATAGATAACTAGATAGATAGATAAATAGAGTGGCACAGATAGACAGATAGATAGATAGGTAGATAGATATAAATAGATAGAGAGATAGATAGATATAAATAGAGATATTGATAGACCAGTGGATATTAACTGGATAGCTAGGTAGATATAAATAGACTGGCTGGAAGATACGTGGAAAGACGGACCCAATTTAAGAGGGACTGTGGATTTTAGGTGCGGAGATAAGGGGTGTATCGTGATGACTGTACCTACCGGCAGTAGACCGATGTATGCGGATGTGTAGTTGACTAGATACTTAAAATTCATTGATTAAGTTGACTAGATACTTAAATTCGTTGCTAAAGGGAATCCTCCCATGTACCCACCTACCGACGTCGCCACCAACACTCATCACATACATAAAACACTGCCAGCACTCGTGTTGCCTGACGTAAGTTATTTGAAACATATATCGAAGCTTCCTATGAAGATTCGTTTTTTTTAAAGATTTTCGTATTTGAAGTCCTTCGTGTCATCCTTGCGCAGGGACCATGCTGAACTTTTTTTCTTTTTCTTTTTATTTCTTTTTTTTTCTTTTTTTCTTTTTGGTTGGTTTAAAACCTGTCGGTGGTGCTACAGAGAGGGTGATATGAGCAGCAGCCCCCAGTAGCGCCCTCGTTAGGTGGCTCCTGTCTATTGGTGGGGTGCGGCACCTGCTGGAAACTGGGTCCAGCGTCCCAAGTAATCTGCTCTGAGGTCTCTCTGTATCGTTCCAATTTTGATGGATGTCCCAAAGGACCGTCTTGAAGTGGTACCAGAAGTTTATTACTTCTTTTTTTTTTTTTTTTAATAAAGAAGCTTATTACAGTATCAGGCCCATGTTGGAACTGGCCGCTATTCTGGAGCCTTTTTTTTTTTTTTTTTTTGGAGCCATGTGTCCATCGTTTGAATTACAAACTCACATTTGGCGCGCCAAGTGGAACCGACAATATATGTGGTACCAACGGGCCTACCTCAGCTGGTACAGCCTTGGACCGATGAAAAAGAGAGCTGAGGAGGTGAGTTCGACTCAGCTTGAGCCTAAATGAATGGGATGAAATAAAATTTTATATAACTCGATATAACCTCTGGGGCAGGCCAGCTTGATGATCACATCTCAAGCCCGTCGCCCTTATTAAAAAAAAAAAAAAAAAAAAAAAAAGAAATAGTATATTTGTCGTTGAATTTATCCTAAGTTTATAGTCCTCTTCTGTTATTTTGCCTCTTGAGAATTCGTGCCATTCTGCGCTGCTTCACGCTCGATTTGCTCCGTCAACAACTTTTCTTCCTATCTCTTGCACATCCTTGGGTTTAACTTTTTTTTGAAAGAAGGCCGCGTTTGTAAATTTCTACCAAGATTCCTCCTTTTAGTCTTCTCTCTTCTCTCACGCACACACACGTGGGCGTGCATTCTCTCTCTCTCTCTCTCTCTCTCTCTCTCTCTCTCTCTCTCTCTCTCTCTCTCTCTCTCTCTCTCTCTCTCTCTCTCTCTCTCTCTCT